GTACCAACAACTAACCAGTTATAGAGGCAGAGATGAGAAGTATTACAACGCTCCCTGGTCTTCACTATTACATCTTTGCATATTTTTCTTTAAAATACAGAATATTTAGAAGTCACTGTGTGCGTGTCCATGTGTCCAGCCCTGATTTTCTGTCTATACGTTTGTGTCTCTTTGTCCAGCTGCAGCGCAGGGTGCCAGACATGAGCTGGGCATATTCGGACAGCTGGGAGCAGTGATAATCGGCTCCATTATTTCCCTCGTATTCTTCATCACCTCTTTCTACTTTTGTCACAGGTGTTGCTGTAGAAGGTAGGACCACATTTTACTCCTTTTGACACAGTACAGTATTAGCTTCTAATGTGTGACCTGAATGTGTTACGTTGTCTGAAAATTCAATAAGAAAATAAAATTTAAATCTGGAAATTGATTAACAAAATTATTTGTACATCATTGGAAAATGTAGAAAATCACTCCTTAAAAATAAATATTCCTTAATAGATCTTAGCTTGGATGTATTATTAATTAAAATGATTAATTTCAACCTTTATTGGAACATTGGTTATTTTGTTTTCTATTCTATTTTGTACAACCTTTTACATTAAAAAGCCAAACTATGCTTTATTTATGTTTTAGTGATCCTTTTTGTTTTAAATATAGGGCATCAAACTATGCCATACCATGCTTATTTATAGAAAAAATATCAAATATATTTTAGTTGCAAGGGCATAATTGGTTTAGACCTTTTACAGGTTCTTTAAACATAAAAAAGGGTCTTGATCCTAGAACATCTTATTCAAAGTGATTCTTTAAAGAACCATTCACTGAAAGGTTCTTCAGGGAACCAAAAGTGGTTATCCTATGACATCGCTCCAAAGTTGAGTTTCAGTTCTAAATAAGTGCAAGTGTACCTAATAAAGTGTCAGAACTGACATTACTCTTTACTGTTGGAGCATTGAGAAAAAAAGACTGTTAACAACCCAGATCATTTTATTCTTTCTACATATTACTGAAATATACAACTTAATTCTGTATGTGATACAGCTTTACAGTAAGTGTGACACAGTTTTTGTGGGTGTAGTGTTGACATTTCAAAAATATCAGATCAGATATTTCACATCAACGCAATTTCCATTTCCATCAGCACAGTTTACTCCATTTGAGTAAGAACAGTGTTGATGTAACATTTGTGCAACCGACTGACACTTTAGATTGATGTAAATTCAAAGAGTGTGAAGTGTGAAAGAGTGCTGTAGATACTTTTGCATAAATGCTCTGGAGAGTTGTTGTGGTCTTCACATCGAAAAATCCTTTTTCCCAGGAGACGCGTGTTCAATGTAGAGCAGCCATATCTCACAGACCCACCGGCATCTACAGAGGTAAGACTTAAGCTCAGACAAAGATAAAATTAACCAAACTGAACGGATTACAAATTATAAACAGAAATCTATTTCATATTTTCAAAACTGTGAAACAGAACAATTACAAAACAAAGGTTATTTATACACACTGATGTTTTTATTTCAGTCAGTTGTTGGGTTTCAAACTGACCGTAGATATAAGAGCATACAGTTGTGGTATGTGAATTTCCTGTGTTTTTCTTCTGTCAGATGTACATGTATTGTGTGCAGTGTGGTTGAGGTGTTGGCCACTGCTCCACTCAGCATGTTCTCAAACATAGATAACAGGCTTAACATTTTCCATTAAGTCATAGCAAACGATCAAGGACAGGCACAGTTATGACAATTATAAGACGAATAGTTTGAAGATTTAACATTTCCTCAGAAGCTCAGACATGCAAGCACTTAGTCAGCCTTTGAAAAACTAAAATAACTTCAAGATGTTTGTATTTTTATGAAGGTACAGACAGGCTGAGTGTGGCTCTTCATTAGCAAGCCATGCAATGCCAGATAGGCCACTGTTTTCAGTTACCCTTACAAACGAAAACACAGCTCAGGTCCAGAATTACTGGCATAAAAAAGATAAGAAAATAAAATAGCGTTACACAAAAGCTTCATAATTATTAGCACCCCTGTTTTCAAAGCTTGATGCAAACTGTTCATTTCCTTGGCATTTCCTATGATGTTTGACAAGGTCCAAGAACACATCTGAGGGGACAGAGCTCCATGACAAATCTTTTGACAGTTATTACTGTACTTGGAAAGCCCAATCAAAGTGCAAATACAGAATTTCTGGGAAGCCTGCCCTCAACATATGTGAATATGTAAATGGTACACCAAAGCTGCTGTGAATTTCTCATCAGAATAGATGCTAATTTGACTGACTGGTGGAGAATCTGCATTACTTCGGTTTCAGTTCCTCTTTTCAAAGCATATTTTAGCGCTCACTACTATTAAAAGAGACACTGGTTTCACACTGTGCTTTATTTTTCCAGCTGCTGACGGCCACAGCCATGCTGTAAATAAGAGAGTTTTTCTCGGACTCAACTCTCTCTTTCACTCTCTCTCTCTCTCTCTTTCTCCCTCTCACACACACTCACACATATCACACACCTCGAGCGGGTCCATAGCAAACAAACCACCGCAATAAACACTAGACAACACATTCCATAAAACTAACATGTGAAAACTCTCAAACATGCTACAATATTATTATTTCTACATTTTATTTGCCGTTTCTCCTTTTTGGGAATTTAGAGCCTGTTCCATTTCTTTGTTAGCTCAAGTGAAGGGTGTGAGATGAGCCCTTTGAGGGGCAAGGGATCATGTGAACATAAGTATATGCCATAAGTATATGCCTTTTTTAAACCCCAAAAAATCAAGGACAAAGCTATTTATAAGTCCTAACAATTAACTACTTAAAATGATTTTCCGGTCTTTATATTGAAAACTACTTCATGTTTTATACATGACTGGTGATACAACTTCACTTTGCTAGCTTGCTAGAGAGCAAGTTAATGGCTTCACAGCTAGCAACAACAAAGAATGGCAATAAAGCAGGGATTCTTGACCTGGGGGTCATGTCTCAGGGGGTCGTGATAGTTGTGCCACAAGACGTCACACACAGAGAAAATCTTTTTGACAAGTGCATACAAGGTCTGCTGAACTGCTCCCCCTACAGGTCATGGAAGACAGGCTAATGTAGATTATGAATTTCTATTGGGTGAGATGATTAATTGAATTGCCTTAATTGATTTTTTTAACCCCAAAAAATGGTATCGCTGAGACGTTAGGATCCCCTGTTCTAAAGTAAATAGCCAGACAATGCAATTATTCACACATTTTATGTATGTTATGATCAAACGTAAAAAAATGCATCGCAAAGTTTGCATGGCCAGCCGATTAGCATACCAAGGCTAAACTAGCTGAGGAGAAGTGTGTTCCGACTGAAAAATGAGCTCCTTGCTGACCCCTCCTCCTTTTGAACAAGTGCTCAAGTGATACACGGTGTGGTGTCGAAGTTGTTGAAGGCATGTTAAAAAGGATTAAAAAGGGATCTTAATCAGGCAAAATGTGCAACAACCCCTCTCCCTTGTTTTTGTCCCTCTCCCTACACACTGTAGATCGTCTGTAGGAGTGTGCTGCTGTGGAATAAAATCCATTGTATCTTGAATGTATTGTATTCTGAATATACGACAACAAACCTCATTCTGCGCAGGCCTTGTATCATAATGCAGTCAATAAGAGCTCATTCTGCTTATCTTTCTTCAGACACACACAGAGGAGACACCTGTACAACATGCTACCCCTGGCTTTGACCCCACAAAACTGTACGCAAAGATTAAAGAGGATTTCTACTATGGCCGGCTTTGGAAGTCCTACCAAGGCAGATCCAGGGTACCTACACAAGGATCTCCGTCTCCCCCGAGGCAGATTTACTACCGTCTAGGTGAGAGGCCTGTACCACAGAGAGAGGAGGAAGGAACAACCAAAGGCCCAGACACAATGACGTCATCACCATCAGACACCAACAACTGAGTGTGTCCTCATCCACTGCTGACTACAAGTCGTCATTTGCTACAAGATAACAAAAAAGCAATAGCCTGTGCAATCATGTAAGAGGAGGAAATACTGAAAAATCATTACCATAAGCAATATCATGCCCTAGCATGCACTATACATATATATCAATGCAAAAACTGCTGTTTTTGGTCTGTATGTCGTAGAGACACTGATTTTTTAAGAGCTTGCTTGAAACTACATTTGAATCGAATACACTTGCACACCTGCATAAAACTGATATATCTCAATGTGTACAAAGTTATTTTTTGTTTTGACTGAAAACAGATTTACATACTTTGATTATTACATATGATATATTTCTGTTGAATAAACTATAGGTTACTTTTTGTAAATGTGTCAATGCATTGATTTAAAATACCCCTTAGAAAAAAAAGATTTATAACATAGTAATAACTACTGAATTACTACAACAATCTTAAAGTAAGTCCAGACTATTACTATAGTTTACCACAGGATACTACACAAGCATTAGAGATTACTGTGCTGTTTAATTTTATACAGAAGCAAAAATATAACCGATATAGACGTTCTATAAATCTTATAGTATTACTAATTTTCTAATAATACCTCATTTATTTTAGTATTACTATAGATAATTTATGTTCCAGACAAAAAATATATTGTTTTCTACGTTTAACTCAGGGCTGCTGTCCCCGGTTTTGGCACAACAGTTTTATTGCTCCCTGCACCGGATATCAGATCTTACATGGTATTTAGCCTACACGTTTTAGCCCTTCTGACATTTATATAGTCCCTTTTTGCACCTCACAGTACTTTTTTTTCCAAACGTAGGCAGCATATAGCGGATGTGGCATGCAGGTGCTGTTCACTGCAAACTTTTTTTCAGTTTTTCTCTGTCGTGTTTCCTCACGCTTGGTGGCGGTAGAGCTCAAGTAAACACCAGCCTGTGAAAATGGCGCCAACTTTTAGCTCGGCTCGTGAAGAGCCTGCTCATCCAGCTGACTTCATTACAGTCAGAGAGGTCGCTGCGTCTGAAAACACTGCTGGCTGTCGACCTGGAGCACCATGTAGGTGCGTTGGGTTCATCGTTTTACCTCAGGATGAAAGATTAACGCGCCTGAATATACCAGCATATATGACTGTCCGAGAGAGCTGCTGTGTGAGAGGTTAATGAACAGCAATAACCGCGGGGTGAAGTTCATCTGGATGCGGCTCTTTGTTCCTCCACATCGACTGAACCTCTACTGTCAGACCAGCGTGAGATTCAGGCCACTTCAGTCGAGTCAGGAGGTAAGTTACTTCAGCAGACTTCTTATCTGAACTTCAGTAAAGTGAGGGCTGTGCTTAAAAATGACTCCACTCAAACTAGCACAGAGTTGAAAAAGCTCTTTAAAAATAGACTTGTGAGTTGCGACTTGGTAACAGTATTGTTACAGAAACAGTGACTCATGTGAAAGTACCTTTCCAAACAACAAAAGACTGACAATACAAAAGTACCAGGTCAGAAACTAAGTACTGTTTCCTAGAGAGCCTCAGTGGACAGGGGAACTGAAGCTACTTTGGCTCTACCCTGCTGAAAAAATTGCACAGGCCAGCATGAATTGGTTTTTAAAGATGTACAGATGCAGTCATCAATGTACAGTAATGAAATTAAACATGTATAAGGAATATGGACTGAATAAGGAATTAGGAACTAAATGTTAATAGTTGAAATATAGCTGGTAAAATGTAGATTACTCACAAATACATTTGAGCAAAACTAAAAGTATCATCACTTGAAAATACTCAAACTTGAGTGTTGTAGATAGAAAGCATGTATCGGTCTGCTGGCACCTCGCTGGCTGTTTGCCACTGCTGGTTCTCCCTCGAACCACCCAGATTATTGTCCTGCATACAAGCCCTAGTTTTTAATCTCCTCAAACAGATTTTAAATGCACAAAGTCTTATATTTTGAAGAATAAATTAAGACAAATTTACTGCTGAGAGAAAAAATTTAATGACTAGGCCTAATATAGAATGATTTTATTGATAATGATGCTGCTGACACAGTGCTAGATTACAGCTGTATAACCTGCTGCATTTATGATATTGCTGTTACAATTATGTAGTAAACTAATTTACAAAGGGTGATGAAAGAAAAAAAATGAAGGAAAAATAAGTAAATTGGGCTATGAGTGGAAAATGAGAGATGAAAAGTGAAATTTTGTTTAATGCTCTGCTTAACTATTGGTGCACTGGCCAGAAAACACTGAGCAGTGGGCCACCAGCTTTGTCCTCAGTGGGCCAACAGTGGCCTACAATCCTCTTGGGTATCTGGGTAACTGAAAAAATATAACTACTTACTACGCACCTTTGTACAGTATTGTCACTGTGTTTTTCACTCTTCTGTATATTCTGTTATAACGTGCAAGCTACTGTGCAATGCTTAGTACTTTGTGTATATGTGTAAATTCACTGTTTGTCACTGGAAAGCCACACATCTGCTTATTATGGTAAATACCTTCTACTGCTTAACTGGAAAAAACATCTAATTCTTTGTCCCCAGAGAAAGCCATGGAATGTGAAACGGGAGTGTGTGTGGGAGAGAGTGATGGACTAACGTTTTGGCTGGCCAGACCACAGGACTATGAGGAGGTGATGGCCATATCGAAAGGCATCTATGCAGGCAATGACTACCTACCTCATCGTTACCACACCTGGATGACCGAGCCGAATAGAGTCGTCATAATTGCCCGGAGAGATGGGAGGCTGGTAAGACATGCTAGGATAATAAAATGGTTTCCTAGCTGCTTGTGGAATTACTAAAAATATGAACTATTCTATTTCGATGCAGAAAAAATGTTGTATATTGTCTACAGAGGGGCATCTCTAGAGATTTATGGAATGGGGGGCTAAGCGTTTAGTAAGGGCATCTGGGGGCATGGTCCCCCAGGAGGATGTTTTTTAATGGCCCCAAAATGTCTGTTTATCATGAACCTGTAGAGTAGCAGTAGGCAGAAAATCTATCAAAAAATGGCTGTTTGGTCAAGCTGGCATGCAGAAGATCTGTTTCTTCATAGTGTATTAAGATCTTTTACAACTTAATTACCATATTTGTCCACCTACACAGATCAAACAAAGGTATCAAAGTCAAGTAATGCTATCTTCTCCTTCTTAGATAAGCTGCAGGTCCTAAATATGTGATTTTGTTCTGTAGTTGCACTTACAACAACAACAACGACATTTATTTGTATAGTGCTTTTTACAACTAGTGTTGTTAGTTTTACAGAAAAGTAGTTTATGGAAGGATCAAACGAATAAACACCTACATGTACATAGTCTAGGTGACATGGTTGGAATGACATTTTACAGCACAAAAATTAGATTTTCTCTCTTTTTTTATTTAGTGTCACAAATGAACATATAATGAGTGACTAACATTTCTATTAATTCAGTATACATTTTTACTTATAAGTTTAAACAATACTTGCTTTTGTCTTGACCACTCTGTCAGACTCCTTCAACTTCTTTCTCTCCCTCTTCTTGCCTGTGTTTAGTAGTATGTTATTTTTGTTAAACTCAGATTTACAAGGATCAATGAGTTCATTTTTCACGGATATAAAACTGTGTTACGATCAGCACAACACCAGTGTTAGCTATATATAGTGAAAAATATATATTGCTAATGCTGGTGTTTCAAAATACTTAATAGAAATGTGACAACAAATAATTTGTAAAGTTTTTTAAAATTCTTAAAATGGTTGGCTCTTCAGCTAGCTATTTTATGCTTTATGGCCTGTCTCCTTTCTTTACTGGCTAAAAACTTGATAGCCAGCTATACTGACCACAGTTTACACCAGTCCATATTGTAGGTGGATATCTTTATTCTGTAACTACTTACTGATTATATATTCAAAATATATAATATACAGTCTGAATCAGTAACTACTTACTGATTCAGACTGTATATTATATATTTTGAATAAGGCCAGTATTTATAGTACACTGAATAATACATTTATTTTAAAAATAAAAAATGGCACGACTGAATAATAAAGAATAAATGCAAAATATTGTTAATGATTTAAACTAATAATGCACATTCACTCTGGAGAGTTAAATAATATTTAGGGATAAATAAACTTAAAACTGATCTAGCAACACCCCTGCATCTACACAGTATAATTATTATGTAATTATTAATGAGTTTTCAGTATTGTGACGTGTGGCTGATTCGTTTTTTGGAAAAAGAAAAGGAAATGACCTCTGTTTGACTGTAGGTGGCACTGGAGTCTGGACAGGTAGTAGATGGGGGCACAACAGAGGTGGTGGAAGGGCTACGGGTGTGTCCGAGTGAACAAGGTCGTGGTCTGGCTGGAGTGATCCAGAGAGTGACTGACAGATACATTAAGCAGGTTTACCCAAGTGTAAATATCAAGCGGCTGACAAGACGTGATGACCCAGGACCTGAAAAACTATCAAAGTTCACTGTTCTGGCTCGACGGGTGAGTTAGAACACGTCCTTATTCACAAATTCTTTACAAACCACACTAAAAATTACAGTACTTCTCTACGTCATGTTTAGTCAAATCTTACTTGTTAGATGCTTCACCTAAAGGCTAAAATATATCATTATTGGTAAGATGGCCTTTAATTTCACTAATTTCAAATCAGCAAGCAGCATTTTGTACCATAGATGTCTTAGTTTTCATAATATTGGCTCTGGCCAACCATTTTTAAGATACCAGCATAGATCCACTTAGTTCTTTGCTTCTGTACTGCTGTTTTTTCACACATTTTTCATGCTTTCATATATTTTTCTCTGTCTCCCTGGATCTGTTTTTCAGGCCGTGCTGTCTTTACAAGGAGAAGCTGAGGCTTTTAATAGCTTTGTTTTAGGCCTGAAAGCAAAACTGGCCAGCATGGAGAAGTCAGATGAACCCACAGCCACCCCCCACGAGCTAGTTGTTCTGAAAGACAGTCATCATCTCAAGGCCTTACTCCTGGACCCTGACCTATCGTCCAGATTGCAGCTTCCAGGAGGTGCCATCATCCAAGACTGGCTGCCTCTGAAGCCAATGGAGAGCAACTTGGAAGTCTTAAGAAGAAGTAACCTTACCTGGTTAGCTGACATTTCCAATGATAAACCCACATTCATGAGCTTTTACACACCTCCCTACCCTATTCCATTTAATGGAGGGTCTTTAAGGTTGAACATAGATATATATGGAGAAGTTCTTTTCCTGGCAATGAAGGCACTGATAATCCATTTGGAGCAGGTAAGGGAGCAGATTCACGGGGGTGTGGTGGTTCATGTCTACATGCCTCAAAGTCTGTGGGAGGGCATGAAAAAGTTCTGTGAGGGAGATGAGGGAGTGAAGCAATACATGGATTTCTGGGAGCAGCTGTTTCTGGAGAGAGAGTTGTCGTGATGGGTTGTCGTCTTTGAGAATCTCAGGAGGAGCGCTAAACATTATTGAGAAAATCTAAGGAGGTGTCACTTAGATCAGAGGGCATTAAGTAGCAATATTTTCAGCAAGTACAGTTAATTCTGTCACAGCAGATATTTTGTGTCAGCATCTAGAAACACGGTTGCCATGGTATATGCTTATGATAGGAAGTCTTCTGTATTTATAAGCATATTTTTTATACAAAAGCATTTTTAATGGCTTAATCATCCTGTAATTACCTGCATATCAGGCATTAGTGGTTTTGTTATAACTTGAAGAAAAAAGCACACACACTAAGCTCTATTCTTTATCCACATAAAATAGCAACAAATGTTTTATAGAAAATGTTAGTGCATTGATATTTCACTATAAAGAATGTTAATATAATATTTATAATTTCATAAAAAATATTCACTTCATAAATGCTTAATGTAATAAAAATAATGCTTTCAAAATACAGTTCAACCTGTTTTTTCATTTTATTTTAAATATAATTATTGTCCACTGGTATGACTGTCTGGAGTAATATTCCATATCTTCAACCTACTGTAGTTTTAGGGAAAAAAAATAATGGTCACAAAACTATTGGATTAGTTTTATATTATATAAAATAAAAGTGTTCACTTTATGAAACTCTAGGTTGTAGGTCTTCATGGTTACCCTCTAAATAATTATGATGGATTGCATTATTGCATTCTGATGGCATTGTATAGGTGATTATTGAAAAGGGTAATATTAATATTAATATTTGTTTAAATATTATTTTACAGCATTGTTAGAAATTAGACCAGTCCTTTGGTGTGACAATTAAAAATTTTTATTACTTAACTTGAAAAGTAATGAAAACATTACACTACAAAGCAGCTTCACATACAGCTAGGCCAAAAATTGACCATTTATCTGGAAATGTACACACAGGCCCTGATAAATGGCTGTAAATGTAGTTGTTCATTAAACTTATTTTATAATATCAAATGATAGTGTTTGTTTGTCCATGTTGTTTAAGTTTTGTTTAAAAATTTGTATCTTAATGTTGGCATATGCCACAAATAAATTTTTTCAGCCAAAAAAAGTTTGTTTGTTTGTGAAGTGACAACTATCAGACATAATGCATATTAGAGCTGCATTATATGGTCAGAATACTAGCACTGTGGTATTGTATGTGTGTTATATGTGTACACACTAACCAGCCACTTTATTAAATACTTGTTTATATATTCAGTTCCACTTACCAAACATGTGCACTTTGTAGTTCTACAGTTACAGACTGTAGTCTGTCTGCTTCTCTACATACTTCAGCAGCACTGCTGTGTCTGATCCACTCGAACCAGTGTAACACAAACTAAAACACCACCACCACATCAGTGTCACTGCAGTGATCCATCATACTAATAATACCTGCTCTGTGTTGGTTCTGTGGGGGTCCTGACCATTGAAGAACAGGGTGAAGGGGCCTAAAAAGTATGCAGAGAAACAAATGGACTATGGTCTGTAATTGTAGAAATACAAAGTGCACCTGTATGGTAAGAGGAGATGATAAAATGGACAATGAGGGTAGATACAAGGAGGTGCACTTAATGAAGTGGCCGGTAGGTGTATGTGTATTGCTACATAATGTGATTGTTATACATTTTACCTTACAGGCATAAAAAAAAGACGGGTATGTCAATAATATGACAAACACCCACACAAAACCCATCTGAAACTCTGCTTGCTCACAGCACACAATAAAAAATGTGATTGGTTTGAGGGTTATTAAACAGTATTGTGTAGCCCCAATGCATATGGTTATTGTAAAATTTTGACTACATATGAAAATGAACTTTATTATTGAAATTATTCCTTCAACAAATGGTTAAAAGCACTTGTTCAAGAGTTTTACTCTCGACTATTTGTTCTTGAAAAATTATAAAAAAGATATTGATAAGCCCATAAATTTAATGTGGCGTGATGTTATGACAACTAATCAGCCTAATATTTAAACAGTTTTAAGAAGTATTGGTTCCGTGTTGTTCAGAATGAGTTTATTTGACATCAGAGAGTCTCATTGATTTACAAAAGATATGAATGGGGCAAAACAAAAAAAACTTGCCTTTTCATGGTATCCTTTGGTGTGACATAATGTCATGTAGTGTCAAACAGGAAAGAAAAATAAAAGAGGTTTTGATTCTTGAGAAAAGTGCAGAACTGAAGTAAGTCATTGAACACAATAAAAGAAAATTGAATTCTATCAAATTTTTAAATAATTACAACAATTATAACCCAAATATTTATGACAAATACATGAAAAAATCTATAAAATAAATGCCTCAAATTGGGCACTATTTTTTGATGATATATAAAAAGGACACATTCATATTGATTGAGCATGTTTTTCATGTTCATTTGCTAATCTCTAAATTAAATATTATCTTTAGTGATGTCACACCAGAGGACATTTTTTTTGAGTATCTGCACTTTATTAAAGTATTTGCATGTATTGAAAGCTAGCAACAGCCATACAACTACAGAAAATTGTCAGACCGGTGTCATGATGTAGGAGTTGTGTACTTCATCAACCTCTGTAAGTCACATTAAGTAAAATATCTTTTAAACAAGTGTTCTTCATCCAAATAAATAATAAACAGACAGCAGCGACAGTAGGCGGATAGGCCTAGCTCCTAAGTGGCAAGAAATTGATGAAAAAGGTGATGGAGTAAAAAGGAGGTTAACAATGTGGAAAATCTGCCTCTTATCCCACCACAGCTCTGCGTAACTGCCTTTCAGCACAGAACAGTGCACAAAAAATCCTTGGAGAAAATGTGTGATGTATGTAAAAGGAATCAACCGGTAGAGCCAGGAATTTATTCACTGGCAACGTAATAAATTTGGCCTTTTGCTTTATCTTGTTCTTTCCTTTGTTCCCTTCACTTTCCTTCATATTTTGTCCTGTTTATAGCTTGACTCATACACTTTCTCTTCACATCCTTCTCTGATTTTTCCCCTTGCCAACACAATACCTGTTTCTTCTTTGTTCTTGTTTTCCCTTTCCATTGCCCCCCATCTTTTCCTTTCTTCCCTTTCATCTGTTTCACATTACTCCTGTTCTGCGGAATCACTTGGTTTGCCATTACATTCGTTTAGCTTCAATTTAGTCTCTGGAATGCAGTACCTCTAACCAGACCTTATTACCAGATACACACCCACACACACACCCACACACACACACACACACACACACACACACACATATTATAATAACCACGAACCCCATTAAACTCACTAATGGAATCAGTGGAAAGCTCTTGCATATTATTTTGTATTTGTCCAACAGCCACAGAACGTTCGTCAGAGTTATATATTTAGCACAAATCACGTTATAAAAGATTGTTTTGACCTTTACCTCACCAGATTTCGACAGGCAGATAATCCAAATCATTATACCTGTTTCATGAACATCTACACCATTACTGTCTTCTGACAGCTTTTGAATGTGCGTCAGAATGCTAACTGCCACTGGACATTTACCCTGTGACCACATGTCTCATCATCAGCTATTACACAATACCTGCTCTCAGTGAAATTATGTCTCGGTACAGAATACTAATTGGAGTGAGAATCTAATATTAGCAATGAACGAACTAATAGTGGCTAATTTGCGAACAAATGAGCAAGGTTAAAGCCATTTGTCGTATATTACTCTCATGACAGCTTGATTGATTGGTTTATTCATTAATCAAAGTCATTTCAAAGCACAAGCCTCATACAGTCTTAGCAGGGAAAAAGGATGCTTTGTTTTGCCTAATGTTCTGTAGAAAGCTGCATTGGAATTATGTGGCTTACAGAGCAGATTCTTCCTGTCAGTTTATTCTTCTACACAACTTGCATAAACCATATAACCTGTTCGGTTTTTTGTGTAAATTGGTGTGTGGATTGGGGTACGTTGATGGTTGTTGATGATTGTTTTACTGCTGGTTGTGCAACAAATTGTCCATTGGGAGTAATAAAGTTTACATTGACCTTGACTTTAATTATTGCTTAAACATTACTATCCACAATCACTGTACAGTATACGGTATATGTGTTTTGGAGTTTTGGCTAAAGTCTTTTGAGTTTGTGGTTTAGTGACTCTGTGCTCTGTGCTTTTTTGTTTTTTCCCCACTCTACACAACTGACCCAGCCAAAGAGGCATCGGTTAATTAGTTAATGAGGTAAATCAGGTGAGCCCAATGAGACAAGGCACAAAAATGTGGGTAGGGAACCTCTGAGCTATGTCAGTCAGATATCTGTGCTGACCGACGAGGGACCTGCTGACGATAAGGAATTATAAGTGTGAAAAATATCTCGTTTTTAAAATACGTAAAGCACATGGACGTATGTTTGGAACTCACTCACTCAAGCACATTTGACAGTCTTTTTTCTTTTTAAAAAGAAAATACTGTGCTTATTATTTTAGATATCACCCTACTCAGAAGTGCCAAAATTCCCTGATATGCAACTTTTTTTCTAAAATGTACTGCTTTAGCAAACACATGAAACAGTAGTACAGAGCTTTGAACAAAATAAGAAATGCATGGTTCTAAAAACATGTTTGAAGCACGGATAAGAAGTTGAGGCATGCCGGATTCTGCTTAGTTCTTTCTATCAGGCACCAACAGACACAAACTGTTCCACTTTGAACTTCTTTTCTATTAATGAAATGAAACACAGTGGCATGAGTGTACAGTAATGACGGATGCAATCAGCATGCAGGGAAGGTCCAGTAGCAATATCACAAAAATCAGTCTTCTTTGAATTACATGTGTGGGCCTTGCCAGGAGAAGCATTGAGAATGGCCTTTTCACATTTCTTGTGAATGAAATGTTAATGCCTGGGGCAGGTAAGAAAACAACCAACCAACCAAGCACAAAATGTATAAATATTATTGTGAGAACAATGGGCATAACCTGAGATCAAATATAAAGCAGCTATATGAAAACCGTTACACTTTTTTCTCTGTCTCATTCTTCTGCTTTTGTTGTTGTTGTTGTTGTTTTTTTAATTTGGTTTGTTTTGGCTACATTTGGAAAAAATGGCATCTTCCATATGATGCTATATATTTGTTAACTGTATTGTACAGTACTGTTTAAAAGTCAGAGACCACCTTTTATTTATTTATATTCCAATTTCCAACAATGATTAAGTACAAGTTATTTATTTTTCAGGAGATATTTCTGATGATTTATTTCTAGGATAATCCAGGAAGGAATCAGGAAGGAAAAGCCAATATAATATAAGTGAAGAAACTGGGCTGTATAATAGAAACGTCCTGTCTTTTTGTCTTAAGATCTGACAGTTAAGATTTTTTCACAAATTGGTATTACAGAAGCAAATCTTATTTCATTTAAGGAATCCTGTCTTACAGGGGCCATGTGACAGAAACTTCTTAAGTCTGAAATTTTATCTTATCTTTTTATTCACCATGACAACTTCAGCTAG